TTTTTTTTTTTTCAGTTTTAGTCCTGTAATTAGATCCATCTTGGTAACTACAACAGGCAGATTCATACTCTTTTTTAATGAAATGATAGATAATATTATTGAAGCTAAACTTTTATTTGTAAACTAGGGGCTTGCTCTTTGATCTCGTACCTAATACACGAAAATTAAATATTTATCATATAATATTTTTATTTTAAATGCGCTATTATAGCTAAAGTGAAGATGGAGAAATTGAGAGAGATAGGGGGAGAGAGACAGAGGGGGTAGGTGTGGATTAATAGAATTGTTTAGTATTGAGAGTGTGTTGTTTGAGCTATCTGACATTAGGGGCCGTGCAAAGAATATGATATTTTTAGCAAAAAAAATTAGATAAATTCTATACTATTAAATCAAAATAGATGAAAACAGAATGAATATTAACGGTTGTTAAGCTTTTATAAAATTAAAATTCAATTTTTTAATTATAATATTAAATTGATGTTTCTAAATTAAAATGGACTTAGATGTTATTTGAAAAAACTGAGAGTTGAATTTAAACACTTAATTGATCCAAAATATTTGATAATTACATAGACATTTAAAAATAAATTATTCTCAATTTTGTCCTTCCATGCTTTCTTTTAAAATTGTTTATAAAATATGTATTTATCTAATAAACAACTACGACATATTCCTAAAAAAATAATTCATAATAAAAATTATAATCATTATTGTCACCTCTACTATCTATCGAAATATGTATTTGATAAATATAAGGATCTGCCCTTACGTGTGTATGTAATTGTGTGTGTGAGTATGTGAAAAACAGTGTATAACTATCTCTGTGTGCGTGTGCGCGTGCGCGCATAATTCTATGGGTACTGTAAAGTGTGAAATGTCTGTGTGCAGCGTCTGCGTGTGTGTTTGTGCGCGAGCGTGTGATTTTGTTTGTGTGGGTAAATCAGTGAGTGTGTTTGTGTACGTGAGTGTGTGTACAAGGAGAGGAAGACGAAAGGAATATAGAATCACCGGTTATTATTTGTATTTGAAGGCATATAATAATAAAAAATAAAAAATAAAAAATATATTTATATTTATATTTAAAATCAAATCACAAACATAAAAAAAAAATAAATAAAATTAAGCATCAATTTATAGTAGGAGTGAAAGGTGGTGGGCGACAGTGGTGGTGGTAGGAGACGGTGATGGTTGTGGTTGTGGTTGTTGATAATGACCGTGGTGGCGGCAATGTGACTCCCCTAAAACTAGAGGTCATTTTTCAACCGTTAACCACCCGTCAACTCGCGAAAAATATTTGTAATTGTCGCACAACCCGATATCACGTTAGTTGTAACCCCTTAACCGGGATTTTAACCCACACGTGTAAACCGTGTACATTTTTCCATTTGACCCAATCAGGTTTTAATATATCACAATTCATGCTCTATTTTAATCCATTTATATCCTTGGAACCCAAAAAACCCAATGTCCAAAAGTATTGCAGAATAATTTTAAAATTTTAAATTTTTGGAAGACCTATCGATAGGTTGTGTCCACTGAAAAAGTCCTACCGGTAGGTCCTATCGGTAAGTCATGCCCACTGAACCTCGATCTATCGGTAGGTCTTGCCCAATTTGACCTGTTTCACCTATTTTTCGTTTTCAATCCATTCTACCACCATCTCATACATGTTTAGTGAAGTTTTCCACGTTATACCCGATCCATACAAAAATCCAGATGATTCAGTGGGTTGAAAATCTAATAACAATGTGCCAAATGGATCAGTTGTTATTGTGAAGGGATTTTATCTTACTTAAGTAAATTGTTGGGCCCAAAGCAACTAAAGATGTTAATGCAAACACACATGATTTTCGTACCCTCCTGTCAATTTCCAGTGTATCCCATTTTAACTTCTTCTGGTCTTTTATTGTTGTGATAAATTTCTCTTCGGGTTACAAGTACGGTTAAAATAAATTTTTGTTGTTTTCAATATTCCTCTATATGGGATCAATTGCTGATCATGTAGACACACTGCAATCCCTCAACTAAACATAATTGTCTTCAGATATGAATATAGATGGGCCGATGGAGTTGCTATAAAGAAACCCATAGAGGTCTCTGCTCCTAAATATGTGGAGTATCTGATGGACTGGATTGAAGCCCAGCTTGATAATGAATCAATTTTTCCTCAAAAATTGGGTATGGGGAGATACTTCATGCCTCACAAATGGGGACGTTTGTGAAATCACCTGACACTCATTTGTCTCGTAAAATATAAAAAATTTGACTATCTCGAAATTCAATGAAAATTGACTGGACAACTCAATTTCGCGAGATGAATCCAACGATGAAGTCCATTGCATCATCCGAACTCTATAGAAATACATATTTTAATTCCGCATTATAGTGACTAATTACCGTTTTGTCTTTTTTCAAAAAAAGTTCAAATTTACTCAGATTTTACAGGTGAAGGCGGCGACGATGGTGCTGGTGGTGGTGGCAATGGTGGGGGTGGGGGTAGGGGTGGTGCTGGCAGCAATGGTGGTGATCGTGGAGATAGTCGTGGTGGTGGTGGTAGTGGTGGCGACAGCAACAATAGTGGCGACAGCGGTGATGGTGGTGGTGGTGGTAGAGGTAGTGATGAAGCGGTTTTAAACACTATTTTTTTTAAGTATTTATGAGAAATAATTTCTTAAAATACTTTTAAAAAATCACTCCAAACACACTCTTGGGAGTCTTTTTCCCATTAAAATTAGGGTAATGGTGTTAATATTAGCCATTAAATTAATTTTAAAATAAAATTTAAAGTGATCTCAAATACGAATAGTAAGTCATTTTGTTTATCTTTTAAGATTTGAATTGTAAACTACTTTATTATATAAATATGAACTTAGCTGGAGGTCTGACAGTGTATAACATTTCAAAGTAAAATTGTTATATAAAAAATATTTTTGATAGGCTTTCAACATTAAATAAGGAATTTACTTTATTTTAATCTATTTTTAAAAAATACTTAACATATTAAGAGATATTCATTTTAATTATTAAATGAACTTAATTAGATAAAATACGAAATGCATTCATTTTAAGTGTAAAATTAAGTTTAACAAACACCACTGGCGAAGCAACCTATTTGCAACTTGCAAAAAAATGACTTGGGCCAAAGGTATGTGGCCTCACTTTCCCAAGCAAAGATCCTCACTTTCAAAAGATATATAGCTTTGTGTCCCTTATGGCCTCTATAAGTTCCATAAGGCCTTAAATCTTTAGCAACCTTCATTCTAGTGAAAGTCGCCATTGCTTCCACATGTTTGTTCTTAACAAACCCTCAACTCTTCCCGATAATCAAGCAACAAAGTTTCTTTGAAAATCTGTAACAACTCCAGACATCTTCTCTGCAGTTATGTGGCCCTATCAAAATTTATCTTAAAAGTCCCAGGCGTGGGTGCAAACCATCAATTGGCATTCGGCAATTACGCCAAAACGCGGGCGGGGTCTTCAAACGGTGCACTGGTTAGCTTTGAACTTATTCCAAGACCCGAGTCAACTGCACCCTGGCTAGACAACCAAAGTGAGTCCAGAGTACTTCAAGTAGAGTCGCGTTTCAAAGCAGATTTATTCTACACCTGGTAACATAATCTAAGTCGCTCGCCCTAGGCGACTCTTGAAATACTTTCTTTTGTCTGCCGATAACTTGCATTATAACTGAAGCAGGCTGAACACTAGAGTGGTTTTCTTCTCTCATACAATAAATCTTAGGCATTGTTCCGTTCTGTTCCTGTAAGGTTCGAATTAATTCTCCTTTGTAGCAGCTTGAACTCCAGCTTAATTTCAATCACATCTCAAGGAAGGTCAAAAGGCAAGCATTTAAAAAAAACAAACCACCAAGAAACTTGTTTTAAACGAGCAAGATGATAAAGGCTGATCAAATTGGACCATAAAATATCTAACCAGGAAATGTAAGTTCTGCAAAGGTTAATGTAGAAATTTTCCAACCAAAAACATCAAGCATCCAAACATCCTCAACCCCATAACATAAATGGGTCCAACAAAGCACAAAATGCTACATCCATCCCTAACCTGCATTGCAATAAAAGACAATTAATAACTAAACACTTCATTAATAATATTCCAAGCACCGCCGGAGCATGCTCGACTCTTGCACCGATGTCCAGTAAAACCATCTAACCAAACCTTCAACACAGCATCACACAACCTGTACACAAATTTCACAGTAAGCTGCAATTAAAACAAGTCCTTAGTCCTTTGGAAGCAGGGAAATCTGGACCTGCAAAACTCATAATATCCATAAGATGATACCTTTGAAAGAAGACATTCAAAAAGCAAAAGAAAATCCAACATAAGAAACATTAAAAAAAAAATAATCAAAGATTACTAGCCTGGATGTGCGGTTGTCACAGAGTACCAGACTGCAAATACATGAATATGCTCTAAAGCACAAGTCAAGAAAGAAAAAAACACATGCATACAATTTTCTGAAAAATCATGTGACTGCAGTTTTCACTTATTGTTATGTAGCCTTCTAGAGAAGACTGAAGTGGGAGGTAAAGAATGCATGTGTACCACTACTGCATTTTGGCAGACTGAAGTGGGAGGGAAAGAATGCATATGCACCACTACTGCATTTTGGCAAGAACAGAAGAATGCCCACACCACTACTGCATATTGGCAGGAACAGCAGAATGCCCACAATACTGACTTAATAAGACTTCTGAAATCTAGTCCAATAAATGGGAATTCCAAGCTTTCAGCAGGGTACAGAAATTATGCCACTTTACGGTAAAGCTGACTAAGAAATATGCTAGGCAAACTTGTCGGCAAACCTTTTGTGATGACCAGGTCTACTTTGTCAAGCATGGTGGTTGAAGGGAATATCCGAAGGGGAGCCAAAAAATTCCTCCATTTTACAAAGTGATGTTCAAATTTTCTAGAGCGAGAAAAATGTGTAAGACAAAGCCAGAAGATAATTTATTTATGAGAACCATCCAACATAATCGTACTAGGAACAACATTCTCCTCGAGGAAGTCTCAGAATAAGATAGTTCATTATCCAAGAACGACCAGCAAACTAAAGAAAGGTTAAGACCCTAATCAAACATAGTATCAAATGGCTGAAATCGACGCAAACTTCAAAACAGATTCCTAAAATTTGCAGGGGTGGATCAGGGTTTCCAAATTATATGAATGGAGAAAGAATATAACACTTCGTAGAGTAAAATCTGTTTTTCACAAGATCATCCAGGGAGAAAATAGTGACCTCATCATCGTATGAAGATATGCTTATAGCAGTATTTTTCTCTTCTTACTATATTTCTTTTCTATTTCTTTTTTTTCCCTTTTTGTGATGTTATGAAAAACTGAAGGTCAAATAACGATATTCAGGTAATCTCACACCATGAGGAGGAGAGCCCATTTATAGGTTAGTTTCCATTTTAGGTAAATGTAACTTTTTAACAACATAAGAGAATTCTAAGAAAAATTAAAATATTAAGCATAATTACAACTTCATTTGGTTGATCTTGTAATACTAAATTTTGACAAGTGCCACGGCGTATGTAAGGTTGTATTATGTTGATTGCTTAACATAACATTGTGAACAATAACTACAAAATTAGACAGAGTAAGTATGGGAGGGGGTAGAGAAAGAGAGAGTGACTAATAGGAGGAAATAGATTGGTACAAAGGTCACAGAGACTTGTAGAGGAGATGCACAAAGATTCAGGAATGCAGTAGTCTGGGGAGTTTGATAGCATGAGATGCATACAAGCACACAAAACATGCACGTTGAATGCAGTTAGAAAATCAATTAAGACGAATGTTTTTCACATTCCATATCACAGAACTGTAAACCTGCACACCACCTGCACAGTGGAAAGTGGCCTGTGAGCTTATATTTAGTAGGGCATGTGGTCCATCTAAAAAAGAACACTTTACTTTGCAACCAAGCATAATGTCACAATCACAACTCAAATTGGGACATACCAGGTGCACAATGTATCAATATCCATATCCACTTCGCTGCTGCTGCTGACTGTAGTGCTGATCTCCATTATGCACGTATCCATTGTAGTCAGCTTCTTTGATATCAGTGGCATCACGAGCATTCTTGTTAGCAAACTCCGCGTGTTCTCTTTCCCTATTCCACTGCTCGATTTTAGCACGTCTCTCTTCACTACCTTCCCTAACTGGACTACGGTTCCTCCTGCCCCCAGGGCTCCTGCTTCGTCCTCTCCTATGCCCAGGGCTCGAGCTTTTGTGCCTTCTGCTCTGACTCTCATGGTGGTATTCCCAGTCATCATACCTCCAACTATGGCCACGACTGCCATGAGACCGCTCCTCATAGCTCCGATGCCTGTAGGGACTCCTGCTCCTGCTTCGGCTTAGACTGCGCCTTCGCCGATACCTCCCAAATAACTGGCGTCTCAGCTCCCTGTTATTCAGAAACAAAGGAAGTTGTTTCAAAAAATAAATAAGTTATGTTTTCGATACCAGGTATCTGCATAGAACCAAAACAAGAAAATTTTAAAAGAATGTCAGCAAAAATTACCTGCCGATTCTTTTCAGATGCATAAAGTTGCAATACCCACCACGATTGCAGCTGTTCTCCTCATATTGTCTGCACGTGGCTTCACGGAAATCAGTCACAGGCGAGAAATCAATGATGATTGGTCTGCCTGTAGTGTTATCGGTAAGAATGAGATTAAATATAGAAAACTTATACTTGAATAATGTCAATTACTGTAGCAAGTAGCACAAAAACAGAAAATTAATGGGGCGCTAGAAACAAAGCTTCAAAGAAAACATAACAGGAAGAAGCAATTACCAGCATAATATCTTCCAGTCAGATTTTTGAGGGCATTCGCAGCATGTTCTTCCTCTCTAAACTGAACATAAACATTTCCCACCTGCCAGCATAAGTGGCATTAGAAATGCATATGAAAGTAAATAAGCAAACACAAGGGAAAAAAATACAAAACCAGATATAGACCCATTTTCGGAAAGACTTACCATGTGGTCAGCCAGATTGTCACAAACATTCAAGCTTTCAATCTCTCCATACTTGCTCAGCTCCTCAAAAAGATCTTCATAAAAATCCTGCAATGTCACAGAAAATCAACCTTAACTTCAAATCTCCAATACAATTTATAAATTGAGAAACCATTCTCCCCATTTGTTAAGACAGAAGGCCAGGATTTAATGCTTATGGGACCTCGGACATAGAACAAAAAAATCATAAAAGGCCTAGGTTACTGACCACCATGTGAAATCACTTTTTTGCTTCTATCCACCCACATTTTATTTTCCTTCCTCATAATCAACATTTTCCAAATCAACAACTAGACACAAATTTAAGTCCCTAGACACACAACAATTCAAAGTTCAAATGAAGGACGACAGACTAATTATTTAGCTTAAAACTTGCTTATACAACAAAGATATCAATAGAAGAAATAAATGCGTCTACTTCCATGGATGCAACAGTAGAGTAGAAAATAGAAAGACATACGTAAAATCACCCCTACAAAACTGTGACCGCACATCATTTTATAAGCATGACATTCTAAGCCAACAACATGAAGATAAATTGATCTAATGCACGATGTTCCGAGGGGGTGAAACTTCCCATGCATGTGTTCTACACTGTATATCTTCCGTTTCCCCTTCTGTGGATGATTATATCACACCCTACTTGTGCATTACCTTTTTGGCTGTCTAAAATTATTACCATGAGACAAGAAATGAGGAAGGAGTTAGCAATAGGCTAAAAGCAATACCTATCTGTCTTCCCAAAATACCTTTCAGTTACTTCTTATGGATTTCTTTTTAAGGATACTTAAAAATCTTTGACATAGCAATATAGAATTCAACTGATACCTAAGAATGCAAGGGAAAATATAAACAGAAAAATACAGCTAACCTTTCAAGTTGAGTAAAATCAGGGAACAATGAATCAGCATTTCTAAAGCCTAACCTAAGCTGCAACAAACTAAATTACATTAGTTTGAACTTTTTGAAATGAAGCAATGCATAATAATCATCAAAGCACATAATGGAATGGTCAAGATTTCTTGATCAATACTGAAATTTCAAAACACATGACAGAAAACCCATAACGCTAAATCAAATCATTCAGAAAAATGTTATATATTTACACTTTAACAGGAGTAAAATCTGATGTGATTGAAAGTGTTCTTCCATTTTGTTAGGGTAAAGGGTTGGCCTACGCGTCGACACAGAATAATAATGTTGGGCTGCTGGAAAAAATAAAACACCAGAATTGGGGTTTTTCTTTTGCAACAAATCTCGATTACAAAGTCATCACGTATTTGTGCGGCTGTATATATATGTATGTAACTAAACTTGTTTGTGTGGATGAACTTGGGGAATTGTGGTGTGAACTTTGAAGTGTTGTTAGATACATGTGCAGGAGTAAATATTGAATGGAACGGTGATACTATCTTAGCAATCCTAACGTGATAACACTGACAATAATAAAACACCAAGTGGGCAACGTGAACATCCTTGAATAGTTATTTGCTTATATCGAGAAAGGGTGGATAGTTATTTACGTATATGGAGGAAGAGTAACTAGTTATTTGCTTAAATGGAGAGTTGATTATTAATTTTAGTGAAGCTCATTTGCTTATTTGTTTTGATATTTATTAGTTAGTGATACACATCGGCATTGTCAGCATTGTCGAGTGATATCACTGTTGTTGAATATTTTCTCCATGTGGAGATCGACANATTTATTAGTTAGTGATACACATCGGCATTGTCGAGTGATATCACTGTTGTTGAATATTTTCTCCATGTGGAGATCGACAGGCTGGCATGAGCATCAACAATGCTAGCCTTTTGGTACCAGTAGTAAAGGCGAAGAGTTGGGCTGATGACGGACATGGTGTGCAGCGTTGATCAAGATCAATATTTCAGTATGGCATCGTGATCATTAGTATAAGAAAATTACCTTATGTTTCATCCTTATGAATAAAAATCCTTGTTTGAGCAATACAGAATTCAACTAATACCTAAGATGGTAAGTGGTTATAAAAGCGGAAAAAATTTGAAATATTCTAAGCTTTTGATTTTAGTACAATCAGAGAACAATGAATCAGCAATTCTAAAGCCTAAACCTAAGATACTATAAAGAACAAAGAATTGCATTATCATCAACAGAGTACAGAATGGAATGATAAATATTCATTGATGGATACTAAAAATGTTCGGACACCAAATACAGACCTATGATTCTGTATCAAAAATTCAAAAGAACATTACATGGTTAGCCATTCATAGAAAAGGAGAAAGATTGATGTGACCTCGAAGTGCTCTTGCATTTTTTCGGGGTCGATGGGCTGGCCCTGAGCGTCGACGCCGGGAGTAATCATGTCGGGCCGCTGGTACATGTTCGAGAGGAGAAGCGTTGGGCTGACGCTGGGCTTAGTGTGAAGCCTCGAGCACCGATCGCNGACGCCGGGAGTAATCATGTCGGGCCGCTGGTACATGTTCGAGAGGAGAAGCGTTGGGCTGACGCTGGGCTTAGTGTGAAGCCTCGAGCACCGATCGCCGTGGCGACAAGCGCCGATCTTGAAGTAGAATGGGCAGTTTACCCTGTCCTTCTCAGTTCCAAAAATGGACGCCAAGTGTTCCGCCATAGCTTCGCAACACAGCAATAGCAATCGGCTCCGCGCGCGAAATCTTTAGACGCNGATCTTGAAGTAGAATGGGCAGTTTACCCTGTCCTTCTCCGTTCCAAAAATGGACGCCAAGTGTTCCGCCATAGCTTCGCAACACAGCAATAGCAATCGGCTCCGCGCGCGAAATCTCTAGACGTTGTTTGCTTTCTCTCCCCTAGGGTTCGAGGTTCGCCTGCAACAGCAATCGGATCCGATATCTCTAGAAGCTATTTGCTCTCTCTCTCTCTCTCTCTCTCTCCTAGGGTTTCGAGGTTCTCGACTAAGGCGGTTTGGGATTGAAATGAGTTTCACCCGATAAATATAGAACTCCGATTACCTGAGTTCTGGATAGTTCGAAACAAAAATTTTGGAATAATTATATTGACTCCCCCTTATTATTTTAAAAATTTGCAAAAGATACCCACCTTTTTTTGAAATATTATTACATCTTCTCGTGACTAATCCCGTCAAGATTTGTTTGAAAAACTTAATGTAGATTGTCTATTTACTATGTTCTCCTCATATTAAAAATTGAATGCCCAAGTTTAATAGTAGAAGAGTTTTTTTTCAAGTATTATTTTCTAGAATTTTATTTTTTACGGTTCAAAAGGGTGCATGTATGAGATTTAATTATATTTGAACTAAATTCAAAAATATGTGGGGTCTATCGATGCCTAAATAATAAAAATATATCGAATTAGTCGCGTTGCCAAATCTCAATAAACATGAATTTAGGCTTAAAAAAAAGGTATTCTACCTTTTGAAAAGAAGAAAAATAGTATTCAATATATTATTCTTTTTCTAAAAAACACTTATTAAAATTAATGTCGCATCTAAGTTAACTCACCAAAGACTTATCACTATAGTTTACGATAGGCTCTATGAATTCTATTCCTCCATTGTGTGCTCTCCATTGTGTGCTCTATCGAGGACAAACAAATATTCATAAAGTCGAGTGTTATAAACTCAAATGATAATTTGAAAATTATAAATAAACTAATCATTAACACTGAAATCACTCATTGTATTTTTTTTTAAAATATTTTGATATGCAAATATAAATGTATTCGTTTGATTTCTTACAATAGAATAGATAATTCATTGTGTCTTTCTCTGATTAGTATCTTATACTAATCAAAATGTTTATCAAATCCTTATTTTTAATCAATATGAAGGGTCGAATTAGTAAGAATGATTGACAAGGACTAAGATACACCAACATTATAAAAAATCACCATCTATAATACCTATCTCTCTCTCTCTCTCTCTCTCTCTCTCTCTTTGTGTGTATAGGATGTTGCTAAGAAAAAGATAGCTCATTGAATATGGAGTCGTTTAGGTTATCCGAAGGTAACTTAATTTTATTTGCACATTGAACCACGTGGGGTGGTTTGCCCGAGAGGTTAAGGGGGAAGACTTAAGATCTTTTGCACAAAAGTGCGCGTGGGTTCGAACCCCACAGCCACCATCTTCACATTATATAATTTTTTCATTACGTTCTTTGGAAAAACTAGTGCCTAATGAGGGTCGGAGGATGCAATCTCACCACTCTTTTTTACATCAAAAGTGCATAGTCCTCAAGTCGGGAATTCTTAATCTATTGAGAAAGAACTCTAATTTGAGAATTTAATTTATTATAATCATTAGACTAATTATGAATTTTAAAATTAATTAAAATTCACTTTTAATCAAATAAAATAATTAATTAAATCTTCAAATTAAGTCTAAATAGGATTTTATGCGAGTGCAAGTTAAATTCTTCATACTGCGGTGAGAAATTTTCATCGCAGATTGCAAGTATCTACCCATTATACTCGGCCGATCAGTGAACAGCCAATTAAGGTAGGCCCAGATTGTCAGGAAAAATGTGGCCCACAACACAACCAACAATGCCTTCCTGGATCAGGCCGACCAACAGATAGTCATGTAGTGGGCCGATCTTCCCATGACCCACTGGACTGTCAAGCTTTTAGGCTAGTTTGTTTGTTTTGGGACAAAATGCATATGTGCATTCACTTGTTGAGTACAACATATGTATTGTGTGCCCCCCCCCCGCCCCCCCAGTTACAAAATTTAATACTCGATTCGTAGCAAATCATCTCCAGCATACGAGAAAAATGCTATAATTATGCAATTGTGAAAACTTATGACGTTGAGAGAGGAGGGAGATCTTCTACAATTTTCTAAGGTATACTGAGGACAGAATATTATGTGGAGGTGATGTCGAATACTACACCAAAGAATTGAACCCCCCCGCCCCCACGTTATTGAATAAAAACAAAGAAGGTCAATTCTTGCTAATTTTTTCATCATCCAATTGTTCTCAAATAGACCCATTAAAATATCAATACATTCTGTTTAACACAGATATTCATTGCTCTTTTATCACACAATCACTTCAATGGAAGCAATGGCAACTCATGTGTCAATGGTAGAATTGGAGCAATAATGAAACAAGAGGACAGGTACCCTTGGCCAAGCACAAAGACTGAAGACAATAGAGTGAGAAGACCACCCACCCAACAAATTTATGTCTGTGTCTGTGTTTGAATATGCCATGTGACGTGCGAAGCTGGTGGTCCAAATTTACAAAAACTTTAAACACAAACTGGTACACATTCAAACACAGAGACACAACGACATAAATTTGTTCAGCTTTATAAATTTGGACCACCAGCTTTTTCCTGTGACATAGACTTAAAATGTGGTTAAAAGGACCCCCCAGAACTTCTATTTTTTTTCCCTAATGAAAAACATGACACTTGTAGAGACTAATTACTTTTTTTATAATTTTGCTTTAGTTAATTATTTTTTGTGATTAATGGTCACAAATAAATTAAAGAAAGAAAAACTTTCACTGTCATAGCCTTAGCCTTAGTATCAAAGACAAAACGCGAGTTGTAGCCTCGCACATCTAAAGTTCAATTTTTTTGGCTACATAAAATTCAAGTTCCACAAATGTCTATGATTTGAAGGTGATTGTGTGTATTCGAAGTTTATGTCGCAACTATGAGTCCTAAAAATGCTTGGTTGGGATAATGTACTGTTAGAAAAAAAAAACAATTAACAAAGAAGATTTACAAATCATCATCTACAAGGATTGCTTTGAGTTTAGTAATCTACCATTCCTACTTTTCTCTTCTGGGGTATATTCTACATGTCATGGAAGCCAAATGTACTATCACCAACACACTATTCCTTCATCAACCATAGCAACACCAAACACACAAATTTGGCAAAATTTCTGGGTCAAACGGAAGTGGTGGGCCCCTATTTCGCAACGGCACCAAATACGGCTATGCCGACACGACGGTAGTTCTAACTAAACTCATCGTGTTATCAAAAGGCCATTCCCTACACCATTCTTGACTAAGGTCTGGTATGGCGGGATGGTTGACAACAGTAAAGACATTCCTTACTCCACAAATTTCATTCTCACCACACGCAAGGTAAGGAATCATACATCTTATCTTTTCTAGATTATGCAACAACAAATAAAATCGTACTTTAGGCACTCTTTTAACATGTAAACACTATATTATTCTCATTGTTTAAAACGTGTCATAATAGTTCTAGGTACTGACTGTATCATAGTTCTTGCAAGCCTTGGGTTAAATACATAGGTTTTCCTTAATTTTGCTTCTTTTCAATGAAGCCCCTAGTGGTAATATTGCCATGAAAGTGACTGCTTCGAATGCCTCCAAGTAAAGGAGATACATTAGGAGAATTCTATGGTGTAAACAAAAATAAATTCAGTACCATATCAAAATGAATGAGCTATAGATCTTGGTTCGATGCAGTCATTGACTGATAAATTAACAAAAAGAAGTAATAAAATTTTACATGTGCCACATATTCGGCAGTGTTCAATAGCACTGCACAAATAGGATGGATTTACGAATTAGGTGCCCGGATGAAGGAGAGAGGGATTAGGCCTTTGAATAACTTACTAAAAAAATATGAGGGATGAATTCTATATAAATATAAGAATAGTACTAAGTATTGGCCATCACAATATTCTTTGTGATACCATGCTCAGTTCTGAATTGTTGGCATTAGCATGGGATTATTAAGATTTCTGAAAGCTGCCTATCATAGCAGCTTGCTTTAGGAGTTTCCATGATGTAAGGAAATCAAAGAATAATAAACTAGCTAGGCTACTTCTTGTAATCTTTTGAAATTGTAGTTAATTGTAAGAGGCAAAAAATTGAGAGCACCTCCTACAGGAATTGAAAGATTGATGTGCTTTTGAACTTGATTTTCTAGTCTTCCCTCATCTATAAAACGAACAAATTGCCCAAGATCGAAGATACTCCGATACTTAACTCAGTAAAGGTACTGAAACGAATGGAAGAAGACAAGGAGAGTTTAGCTTACCTTTCACCTTGGCTCATTTTGATTTTTATAGACCCTATTCAGTTAGGGTTTCCATGAATTTTGATTCAAGGTGGCACACCTTTCTTAAATTAGGCGGCTCTAGTTAGGAAGTTGCTGATATCTCTCTAGCAATTCCTCCTATCAAGCCTATAATTTCATCGATTTGTTTAGTCAGAATGCCTGAATTGTAGGCATTTTCTTAGCACCACGTTACTATTTTAAAAAGCTCGGTCGTGATGAGGATCGAGCTCATTCCTTCATTTTCGAGCTTTCTAATTAGTTGGGATGTTATTTGATGACAACTTGATCGAATCTTATCCTCTGCTCGGCCAGGACAAGTCGATTAGCTACTAAGTCGGACCTATTTTAGCTCGGCCGGATAGCCTAGTTACTTGGTCTGCTCGGCCCGGATTGCCTAGCTATTTACTCTGCTTGGCCGGATAGCCTAGCTACTTGCATTGTTCAACCTAGATGGCCTAGCTATTTGCTCTGCTTGGCTGTATAGCCTAGCTACTTGCTCTGCTCGGCCCGAATAGCCTAGTTACTTGCTCTACTTGGCCCGGATGGCCTAGCTACTTGCTCTGCTCGACCCCGAATGGCCT